ACACACACACACACACACACACACACACACACACACACACACACACAGCAAGAGAGTGAAAGGAGACAACAAGAGAGACACAAAAGGTAGAGCACAGAAATAAACAGTTCCATAAGCAGAGATTGCTCTGTTATTATGGCTGTCAAGTCTCTTCAAATAGATTTTAAAAGTAAACCGGCTGCCAAACCAACGGACACAAAGAGCAGTTATGCTTCCATCTCTCCTGACAGATTCTTCTTCTACAAATGCTCGATGCAAGAAGCATTCAACAGTCAAAGCAGCGGCCTATTTCATACAAATGTACATTTGCACTTTAAAAATAGCTTTCAGCTCGATTACAATCAGTCTTTGCCTGAAATTATAGTTATTTGCCTAAAATTATTTTTAGCACTAACATTATTGTATTATACTATTGTATCTATATGTACTGTATGTCCAGCATCTTAATCAAATACATACTAGGCTTAATCATGCTATGTATTAATCCTATTGACTGCTGATTGACAGAGAAGCATTCTGGGAACATTATCTACAGGCAGGAGAGATTTTGCAATTATACCCACCACAGCATCGATACTGAGTAGGCCTGCTATTTGCCATTGATCACGAGTGTATCATCCCTTATGAAAGGGTAAACTGTGTATTTATATGAAGAAGGCAACTCACACTGAGGGTGCAAAAAAAAAAAAACAGTATGACAGGCCTGGCAGCTTATTAATGGGGATCAAATCATTGACCTTTTATTAATAAATCCTCTCATCCACACATGCTTTACATGTACATGGCTAATATTGTAGCTGCTGCCTCGGGTAACAAACAGTAAGGTTCAGACTCTTCTGTTGAGAAGCTTGACATGTACAACAGCATATACTGAAAGACATAATGATAATTGTATGCGGCTCTGTCTCGATTGACCGCCCTTCACGTCATTGACCCACTGTTAATAGAAATATATTGATTAGTGCCAACACTTTCTTTTTAGTGTCTACTGTATGTTGACCAAATAAACAAAAAACAAATATCCCACTCTCCACTCATGATAATAATAATTTTTAAAGAAATACATGCATCCTATGAACATTTTTGAATAATGTCAAAACACCTTCTAACCCAGCGGGGAAACTGAAAATGTCAAATGGCACTTACTGAGCCATCTCTCTCATGCGTCTGTATTGCAGTTTCCCAACAAAAGAAAATGAGAATAAATGGCCGTGTCATACATCATTGACCTGAATGGAAAAACCCTGAGTACACACCAACCTTTCATTCTCACTGTTACAATCCTGGATGATGGAGTGATTTTCCAAACAGATGTGATTTCTTCATTTTTTTATTAAAACGTTACTGGTGGGTCGGCTCCCTGCGAGATACAACATGACGAGCTTAGAAAGCTCCTCGGTAGTCTATTAAACCCAACAGGCCAGCAGTAGCAGAAGGCCACCGTCACCTCTGGGGAGGCAGATAACCTAATGGTTATTACCCCTTTATGGGCAGAGAAAGACCAAGACAGGTGCTTATCATTTACAAGCGCATTACAAACCTCACCGGGGATGAGTTCAATCATCATTACTTAACCCAGCACTCGCGACAAGAGGTCTGCATCAGGAGCATAAGTCAGTGCAGCTTGTTTGATGGACAAAGCATGATGAGGGATACCGTATGTGGAGCATGTGGACTGTAACAGGCGGTAAGGTGGATGATAGAGTAATGAGACATTAGGTAGGTCGATACTCTGATAAATGTGGTGCTTTTAAAAAGTGTACCCTCTACATGAGGACTCAAAAAAGAAGGAAACATAACTCATACTTATGTATAGTACATTGAAAACATGAAAGATACTAATATTTTAGATGTCAGATAAATATTGCAGGCAAGAATGTGTTTTTCCCCAGAATTCGGTGACGTTAGAAACAGCATTTACACCAACATTGGACACTAAAACTACTTTGCACACTCACAGACATGCATACAAACCTCTGGGGTATACACCAGGGTCCATGAAGGTTGCCATACTGAAGTTGGCCAAGACGAAGAGGAAGACCAAGCCATTGTAGAGAGGCACGGCGGGAGAGATTACCTTTGTCAACCAGGGGCACCTAGAGACACAAAGGAAGGGACAGAGATGAGGTCACACACAATTTAACCACCATCACGTTGTGATCAGAGGTGTGCTTCTGTTCGAGACTTAGTAGTAAGCGTTAGTCCCTGACCATGTCGTATTCAATTGCACATGTTTAAATGAGCACTCTCGTACTTTTCTTATGAGTGTTGGTTCTAAATTGAAGCAATACTCATAATTAGAGACATGGTATACATGTACATACAAATAAATGAATACCAAGCTAGCCAGCTTGAGTGAATAATCTTTAAAGTACTGTAATTATTTGCTGATTACGAGGTGAGTTACTGTGGAATTAAGTAAGCGAATGGTTGATCATTAGCCTAAAAGGCTTCTTTAGAATTACCTGTTTGAAGAGGATTGGAGTTTTGCAGGTATATGGTCATAAACCACATAATTGTACATTTGATGACCTCATCAGCTACATGAAAAGGTAAGTTACCAATGCAGTTATTATGATTACTCCCAAGGGAGACACGAATGTTTGTGCCAAAATATCAGTTATTGAGCTATATCGCTCAAAACACACAAATATCAACCTCATGGTGGTGCAAGATGCAGAGTCAGGGATCACCATAGTAGGATTCGTCATCTAGGGACCCTGAGTGTCTACAAAATGTCTATAGAGCCTTGCTGCTAGCATGTCGAAAGATGAAGCTAACCAAGCATGCGTGATCTTTTATTTCAGGTCTTATCAGCTCTTCCTTCATGTAGCTCAACCTAGCTTTAGGGTGATTGCCATCACATGCATCTAATGTAACTCTGTACTGTGCTGGTAAATTATGTTTCACACCTCAATGGAAAGGTCAGTGACCGAGGTTATCAGCAGAAAACATCCTTTTAATTCCACCAAGATTGACCTTCTCTACTGCCTGCAAGTCATAACTCAGTCACTGCTGTGAAATATTAAACTGAGGAGACATCTGAATCACACCCACAGCCCCGCTCAATCACCTGGACTCAAATCTCAGGACACTGCGTGTGTCCTATAGGGTGATATTATTCAAGCCATCTGTTTGTGTGGTCTCTGTAGAGATGAAACACCCAGATGTGTGACGCTTATGGTTATGCATACTGCAGAGAGATCCTGCAGGTCAGAGAATTTTATGAATTAATAAAATGTCTTGCAGGAGAGGGAGGAGAGAGACTCTCTCTCTTTCACTTGTGTTTCCAGCTCTGTTTCCTAGCATGATGACTAACACACTTACGTCCACTTGCACACGTAACAGAACACACTGTCACTTTCAAGCATGCTTCGCCAGATTATTCTGACGTCAAAAAAGTCAATTTCCTGCTACCCTGGCCCCGAGATCATATTCAATCCATATCTCCTCTCCCGCTCCGCCAGTCCTCTTTTGCTTTGTTGAATTATTCAGAACCGTGGCTGTAGGGAGCCACTAACAGAGAATAGAAAGACCCTAAGGTGGATGAGGTGGCCTCTCACGTATAACCAGTCTGCACTGGTCCGCAGCCTTGTGAGGGCTAGCGTGGGGTGGGCATGACTCATTCTTCTTCAAAGATATCACTGCGCCAAATCAAGGCCATGCTGGGGGGTTGACTACATTCACGTCACATGAAAATGTAGCTTACATGGTAATATTCCTTTGTATTACAAGCACATTACAAACTCAGAGTAAGAAATACAATTTCTTATAATCACCATCACCGGGAAATCAAATTCCAAGTATTGTTTGTGATACCGTTCTCATTGTTAAGTCATGCTGTCAGCAGATGCAACGAGACTATAATTATCTTATCTGTCTGTCATTTATTTTTAGACCTTCAGCCGCATTATGTATCAAACTAAAAATGAAAAAATATGTCTGTGTAACAAACGATTTACCAAAAGGTTGGTAATTTAAGTTTTGTTGGTTATTCTCTGAATGCAGTTATGGCACATATTTACATTTGCAAGATAACAACCTCAAAGTACATGTCAGTGGAATTGCCATTTATGCAGAGGCCCGCTGTGAGCACCGGGCGGTGTGTTCACAGCTTTGTCAGCAAGTAGACAAGGTACAAACGCTTAAAAAAAACTGATCAAAGAAAAGCATGCAGCTCCACCGTCTTAGAAAATCCCAATTTACTCTTCTGTCAAAGGATCGTGTGTTTTTGCCTACAGTGTGATACAGTCAAGCCAGAAGGAAGGGGGGAAAAAAAGCGAAGCTGACGGCAACCATTTTAGGAGTCTGGGAGCAGACAGCGTGGGAGGAAAATGTGACAGAGAAAGCCTGATTAGGAACACAGACATTGGTTAATTGTGTAGGAGTAACAAATAACCACAGAGCGCTTATCAAGACTGTTTACAAGCCACTTTAACTGCTTGTGTAACCATGATACTGTTAAAAAGTTTGCACCAATCTTATAAAGCTGAAGGGGCTTTTGCTGCCAAAATTGCAGTAATGTAATGAGTTTGGACAGTGAGTCTTTTCTGGCCAAACTGGAAGAAAGGCCTGGGATCTCTGTAGTAATCAAAATGCCTGGCTGAAATGAGGAAAAGAGCAAGATAAAAACAAAGGATTAAAGAGGAATAATCCTCAGCTAGCTCCTCAGGCTGGCAGAGCAACACTAACGTCAGTCAGATCAATAAGAGGCAGCAGACTGCTGGCAGAGGGCACACCTTTTCCACACAGCAGCCTTCCCTTTGTCTTCATAAATTAGCATCATTAAAGTGGAAATGATTTTGGACTTCGGAGTTTACTCCATTTAAATGACTCGTGTTTTGGTGGACATTTTCATCCAAAAGCCTTAGGTTGGCATATGCCAATAATTAAATGTGTTGTACAATGTTTATGTTTTAATGCAAATGCAATAAAACATAGTCAAAAGCAATAGCAGCAAAGTATGATTGCAGATTTTTTTATCAAGCCACAAACCCTTGCTATAATATAAATATGAATGACACAGTATGTTGTCAAGTATATCATTTGAGGTGTATTGTTTTATTATAATTAACTGAAAATTTGTGAAATTGTGATTAATACAAGGGGCAAAAACATCACTAATATCATATGTATAGTCACATTTTTGCATTTTGATATACTGGATGATATTTACAACAAACTGTATGTACTTTTTAAAGCTGCCCTGTACAATATTTGTATTAACAGTGTATCAAATGACAACGCATAATGTGAGAGGTGTTGCTCATAGTGACAAATGGGCAGGGAATTATCAGCCCTGCAGCATTAAGCAGCAATAAAGAGCGAGATATGTCTCCAGAGACATAACTCTTTGCATAAAAGCATAATAACTTTAGGATGGCAAATGTCAATGATGATGATGATGATGATCTACTGGGCCACGTTGTGTAGTGAGCATTACAAATCTGTGTTTAGCTGCATCCACCACAAACTGAGATTAGTTTCATCTAAACTGCAGCTTTAACTCACTCCAAGTTGTAAAACACTAGCTTCCCCTTCTGTATCTTTCTACTCTCACAGGCCTCATCCCATTTGTGGATTACAAAGATGCTGCATCCGATATCAACCCCTGAGACATAGTGAAATCATATGATATACGCAGACATCCACACACTTAGCGTCATCCAGCAGCAGCTTATGGACTGACAGACAGAATCTTAGCCTTGGGTATCCAATAACCTTCTCAGTCACTGCAGCAGTAGGGGTGTCTCTGGTTGGGTATTAAGATTAGAGAAAACACCAGGATTTCGGGTGATGACAACCCAGCTGCCTTTCCAAAAAAAATAAAATAAAAAATCCTCAGCTGCCACCCTTAAAAACACAGGCTTGAGTCTGTTGATTAAACAAAATCTGGGTGGAACACTTTGAAATGAGCCCTCTAATCCCGCTGCCCAACCTTATGGAGGGATAAAACCACTCAGCGGGCTTTGTAAAGTAACTCGGTGCTAGCTGAAGGACTGAAGAAGCTTTTTGAAGGTGGTAGGATTGGTCTGCACATCTACCCTGTGGTGGAAAGTAACTACAGACTACATTTACTCCATATTGTATTTAAGTACACATTTGAGGGTACTTGAAGTCTTTTCATTTCAGGCCACTTTTCTACTCCATTACATTTTACATTGTGCTTTTTACTTCACTACAATTATTTGGCAGCTCCAAATTGTGCGCACAAATCATACAAAGGGCTTATAAAATATGCTGTTTTGTTTTAAATTAAATAACCCAACCTTATAACAATTAGTCAATTAATCACTTAAAATATATATATATATATATATATATATATATATATATATTTTATTATTTTCATAATAATTTATGTAATTTTTCATGCAAATTTTAGGATTTTTAATATAATTTTGAATCTATTTATAATCATTTTGAATGTTGTACTTTTGGTTGGACAAAACATTGTGAATGTTAAGTGGTACGAATCTGATGATATACTGTATAATATTATAACGGTCACAGGGGGCATCTGCACTTCTACTGATTGAATTACATTTTCCTAATTATGCTGAAATTCTTGTCAAACATTGTCAATGCAGGACTTTTACTTGTAACAGAGGACTTTTACAGTATGGCATTAGTACTTTAACTTCAGTAAATTAAACTGAATACTTCCTTCACCCGTGCATCTACCATGAAAAGCCTTCTCCACTACACACCCCAAAGCTATTTGACTACTCAAATCTGTCCGTCCTTCATTTGCCTGCTTTTGGATTGGAGCAAGCCTTTGAAGTTTCTCTTATCTGTTCTTTTAGGAGCTTTGGGAGGAGGGCAGAGTGTGAAGAACCATGAAAGAGAAAACTGAGTAAATCAAGAGAACTTTTGGCACAGATACACACAGGCTGCACTTTCCTTAGTCCAACATGAAGGTTCACAAGATGCCAGACTTTGTGAATGAAGGGAGACGGACTAATAAGCACAATACTGTATGCGTTTCATACATTCAGGTGTTGAATACAGGTTTGCTGCTCAGTGACATTAAGGTCAGTCAGCTGATCTCAAACCTGTTAATATGGGTGCAAATTAAATACTTGTTTGTTCCATG